AAACAGAACACTCTGAAAAACAGAATATAATTTATAACACTAAAAGTACAACCACCATGAATTTCACGTTTGCTATGTAAAAAGCATTCAGTGATAATACATTTCGATAATTAAAGATCATGAACATATACATAAAGGCATGTATAAATATGGAAGCTTATTCTTCAGAGAAATACTCATTAGCTTCATTCATTAATGAAGAAATAACAGTTCTGTGTTACTTACATGATTATTTTGGAGATTTTCTAGCAATGACAAATCGCTAAATGTTTTTTCATCTCCGAACTGTGAGCTCTGCCTAAAGAGGGGATAAAAATGGAGCAAACATGGTTCATTTATACAAACACACTGATCTATTTATAATTCACTTTTGAAGTACATTGTTATGCTTGCAAATTCTTAATAGATACAATGTAATTTTCCTGTATTTCTAAATAAGACATCATAGGCTTCATGACTGAATCATATAAAATGTCCTGAAAGATTCTAAAACGTGACACTTTTGCTCTATCACATAACATCGTTGTTCTGGTTGGTTCTCTAGTGCTGCTGTAACAGACGTACCACAAGTGGATGGCTTTAACAAACAGGGCTTTATTCTCTCAGGAAGCTAGACGTCTGAGTTCACAGTGCCGGCTCCAGCAGCTGGATGAAGGCCCCTCAACCTTGGGCTTCAGCTCTGCCTCCCGTTCCAGGCCCACCAGAGCTGGAGGCTTTTTCTGAGTCATGCAGCTTCTGGCTGCTGAGGCCAACAAACCCAATATTGGCAAGGAAAATGGCACAGTCCCAAGATGAGCATACAACATGGCAGGACACCAGCTCAATCCAGGAACAATCCCAAGACTGGCAAGCAACATGACAAGCCACTGAGATGAAGACTTGGCCAAGTGCAGCACCCAAACATGCCAAAAAGGTGAGGGACTCTTCCCAAAATTTCTCCATATGTACTGGAAGCAGGCCATACCACAAAGGGAGCTACTTAGCTGTTCACAGCAGATTCCTCCATGTGTTGATTGCCAATTTCATCATGAGGAATAACTGCATCCCACTACCCAGCCACTCAAAATGGTGGCCCAGCCAAGTTGACATAAAACGTTAACTACCA